CGAGGCACAGGCAAGCCTTGGATGGCGGCTCCCCGAGGCTTGCGCTGCCGGCAGTGGCAGCAGCAGAAGTGTGATGGGGGCGTCACTTTCCCCTGATTGAAGGGTCGCCTCCTGCCCCGAAGGCTCCCGGACTGTGAGAGGGGGCAGAGCGGGCTGAGGGACCCCCGCTCCAGTGCATGAATTTTCATGCACCAGGCCTCTAGTAAGAATATATGAGGGGAAAGCATTCCTCAGGTACAGAGTACCACAAATACACAGAGCCTTGTGATGAGAAATTTTATCATCCATCCTCCAATGATTAGGCAAATTTGGGCCTAAAATAAGCATAAAACATCTTTGGTACATTAGAACAAAGGACTTAACTTAAAACCTGTATTTTTTATTTTTTAAAAAATATGTTTTTATTGATTCAGAGAGAGGGAGGGACAGGGAGAGAGAGAGAGAGAGAGAAACATCAGAGAGAGAAACATCAGAGAGAGAAACATCAATGAGAGAAATGTCCATCAGCAGCCTTCTGCACGCCCCCTACTGGGGATCAAGCCTGCAACCCAGGTATGTGCCGTGACCGGGAATTGAACCAGCAACCTCCTGGTGCATGGGGTCGATATTCAACCACTGAGCCACACCAGCCAGGCAACCTGTATATTTTTTAAATGTGGAATTATAATTTCTGCTTAAAAAATCGTCCTATATACTAAAAGCCGGTTTGGCTCAGTGGATGGAGCGTCAGTCTGCGGACTCAAGGGTCCCAGGTTCGATTCCGGTCAAGGGCATGTACCTTGGTTGCGGGCACCCTCCCCACTGGGGGGCGTGCAGGAGGCAGCTGATCGATGTTTCTCTCTCATCGATGTTTCTAACTCTCTATCCCTCTCCCTTCCTCTCTGTAAAAAATCAATAAAATATATTTAAAAAAAAAAAATCGTCCTATATACTAAAAGCCCAGCGACAGAATGGCTGAACGACCAGTCAACCAGTCGCTATGATGCGCACTGACCACCAGGGGGTAGACACTCAAAGCAAGAGCTGCCCCCTGGTGGTCAGTGCACTCCCACAATGTGAGTATCTGCTCAGAGGGAGGGTCCACAGCTGCTCGGCTGACCAGGATGAGCGGCACTCCCATAGCAGGCCCATCCCCACAGGCCACGCCCCCCCACCAGTGCACGAATCCTGTGCACTGGGCCTCTAGTCTATAATAAAGGTGTAATATGCTAATTAGACCGGACAGCCGAACAACCTTCCGGACATCCTTCCGGACGTCCTTCCAGATGAAGCCACAGTGGTGGGGGCCGAGGCAGAGGCAGTTAGGGGTGATTAGGCAGGCAGATGAGCAGTTAGGAGTGATCAGGCAGGCAGGCAGCGGTTAGGGGTGATTAGGCAGGGAGACAAAGGGGTTAGGGGCGATGAGGCAGGCAGGCAAGCGGTTAGGGGTGATTAGGCAGGGAGGCAAAGGGGTTAGGGGCGATGAGGCAGGCATGCAGAGTGGTTAGGGGTGATCAGGCAGGCAGGCAGGCGAGCAGTTAGGAGCCAGCGGTCCTGGATTGTGAGAGGGATGTCCAACTGCCTGTGGGATTGGGCCTAAACTGGCAGTTAGACATCCCCAGAGGGGTCCCGGATTGCAAGAGGGTGCAGGCCGGGCTGAGGGAGACCCGCACCACCCCCATGCACGAATTTCATGCACCAGGCCTTTAGTATAATATAAATGAGATACTGAATATAAAGCATCTCTAGTTCCATATTAAGTGATAAAATGGTGGTAACTATTATTTTATTGGAAATTGTTATTGTTACACCACCCATTTTAAGCTTTCAAAATTAGTTTTCAGATTAGTATTCTTTTATTTTTTTAAATATATTTTTATTGATTCCAGAGAGGAAGGAAGAGGGAAAGAAAGATAGAAACATCCATGATGAGAGAGAATCATGGATTGGCTGCCTACTGCAAGTCCCCCACTGGGGACCGAGCCCACAAGCCAGGCATGTGCCCCTGACCGGAATTGAACCCTGGATCTTTCAGTTCGCAGGCCGACACTCTATCCACTGAGCCAAACCGGCCAGGGCTCAAATTAGTATTCTTTAGTAATGTTTGTTTTCTGTATCTTTTAAAATTTGTAAAATCTTAAATCAGTTACTAATGCTTTAGGAATGTTATAATCTTCCTGAAATAGGACCATTACCTCACCTTTAGGCTATTATCCTTTAATTATTATTCTATGTTTATTTTTAACATATGAATGACATTAGAGACCTCTTTCTCTAATTACTTTTATTTCTCAAGGTTCCTTTGTGAGAAAGGCAACTTCATATTATTTTATTTATTTGTAGTAAGCATTTGGGGGGGGGTTGTTTTGTTAATCCTCACCAGAGGTTATTTTTTCATTGATTTTTTAGAGAGAGTGGAAGGGAAGGAGGTGGGGAGCGAGGGAGGGTGAGAGAGAGAGAGGGACAGGGAGAGTGAGAGAGAGAGAGATAGAAAGAAAGAAACATTGATGTGAGGGCCAGGGATTGAGCCTGCAAATGAGGTAAGTGCCCTTGCCCAGAATTGAACCCAGGCCCTTTAGTCCGAGGGCCGATGTTCTATCCACTGAGCAAAACCGGCTAGGGCAACTTCATATTTATTGATGAGTTAGAGTCCAAAAAGTTGACTTTTTATAGATTGTGTAATAATCAGGTTGCATCTTTTGACAGAAACAATGGTCTACCTAATAGTAATTAATTTCCAGTGGTCTTTTTTTATATATATATATATATTTTTATTGATTTTTTACAGAGAGGAAGGGAGAGAGATAGAGAGTTAGAAACATCGTTGAGAGAGAAACATCGATCAGCTGCCTCCTGCACATCTCCCACTGGGGATGTGCGCGCAACCAAGGTACATGCCCTTGACCGGAATCGAACCTGGGACCTTTCAGTCCGCAGGCCGATGCTCTATCCACTGAGCCAAACAGGTTTCGGCTTCAGTGGTCTTAGTTGGTTTGTTTTTTGCCTCATTTGTGTTTCATGGATACAGTTTGTTCTTATCTCTTAAGGATTTTTTTAAAGTCAGATTTATTGAGATGTAATATACATCTAATAAAATTTTACACGGTTTATATTGCATGGTTTTGACAGTTGGGTAACTACCACCATAATCAAGATATAAAAGTTTTTTGTGAGCTTTGATCATCGCTAATGTCAGTATTTTTAGATAGATATCTATGTATGTTTATGTTTCCCTCTGGAATTGAGCTTCTGCCCTCTTTTCTGAAGTCTATAAGCCTGGCTGCAGGCCTGTGTGAGGCAAGTGGTAGAATAAAGGTTAGAGGTCTCAGTATTTACTATGTAAACTTTCACTTGTTCCTCTTCCCCACCCCTGTTTATAATATGTTCCTTGCACCTTCATTCATGACTGGTGTTTCCCATCCCAAAGACTGTGTTTTAAATTTTCCATACTATAAAACTAGTCTTTTACTGGAATGGTGAAGGGGATGTAGGGATGGATCTAGGTGTCTTGAATGGATATTCATTTTACTTGTTCTTAAGTCCACCTTTATCCTCATATAGTGAGGTCCTCAGTATTGCCAATTACTAAACCTTTTGGGGATTCTCCTTTTCACCTTTCCTCACTGCTGATTTAGGATTTAGCTTTCTCAGATCTGCCAAGTCATTTATCACTTCTGCTTTGCCATTTGCAAAATGTTGTTGCCATCGTTTCCTCTTCTTTATCTTTATGGGTTTTATGTGTTTAAAAACTTTTTCTGTAATTGTAATGGGATCTCAGGGAAGAGTGGAAGTGTTTAGTCTACTATTTTTAAATGTCTCTCTTCCTTAAAAAAAAAAAAAAAAAGCCTTGACCAGTGTTGGTTGTTCAGT